ACACACACACAGACACACACACACACACACACACACACACACACACGTTAAAAAGAAGAATACAAAGAACTACCAACCAAAAATCCCTCCCCCCCAAAAAAACTTTTTTTTTAATTTTGTTTTGAATTTCTCTTCTCCACCATTTTTGTTCTTCATTTTTTATAATTCTAAAAACGTATCTTTTTTCAAAATAAAAAAAATGGGGTTGTAGGGATTAAAAATCCCTATAACCCCATTTTGTTTTGGGGTTTTTTACCCATTATTTAATTCAGGAAAAATATGGTAAATTCGCATCCACGGCGCGGACCAGGTCGGCTGGGGACGCGGCCGTATATACGACCGCCAATCGAGCTAGACCCCGCGGACGCGTCCGCAGGTGTTTCATAGATCAACGTGACGATCAGAGAGAGTCAGTGCAAGGTTTATCCGGGCAACCATCCACAGTTGGACTCCCCCAGGAACCGCCCATGGGAAGGGTCATCCTGGAGCCTGAGGAGGCAAAAGCAAAGAGGGAGGTAGAGAGAGAGGTCTTTGAGTTCAGGGCACCTACTGAACTCGTCACGTTGCCCATAATAGTTGTGGAGCCCATAACAGTGGCTATGCCATTATCAGTCGAGGGGGGGCAGCAGACAGCTGACAGTGAGTCGGTTCAGGGTTCAGGAGAAGGATTTATGGATATGCTTCTCGAGGCAGTTCACACTATGCAGGAAGAGGCGAGTCTGTTTTCACCGGCGCAGAGGGTGGTGGAGCCTGTTGAGAGAGTGAGGGTGATTGCGATGGAGGGCGTCATTGAGGGTAAACCACAGAGGTTGGATACGCCTGAGTATAGGCAAGAGGGGATTGGGATACGACTAGAGCCGAGTACTCAGGAGTTGGAGGCGAGACTGGAGGAGCCTGTGGGTATGCCCCAATACCATGACGTAGTCAGGGAGACTAGTAAGGCACCCTGGTCGCCAGGGTTTGAGGAAAAGAGAAAGAGAGGCCGAAAATCAGGAGACTTGTCGTGTTTTTTTCTGCAAGAATGGGGAGCATAGGGTTGTGTAGTGTCCTAAGTTTCTGAAGGACAAAGCAGCAGGGAAGGTTACTGAGAGTGGTGGTCAGATGTATGATAGCCAGGGTCAAGTGGTCGAGCGGACTGCCGATGGAGGCAGGGCTCAATTGTATAGGCAGAACCAGAAGGAGATGAGTGAGTAGGGACTGGTTCGCATACGTATAGGTGGTCAGTAGGACATTGTGAGGCAGGATTGAGTTTGCATTTCTGATTGGATACTTGCTATTTATTTTGTGTTATGTTTTAATACTGTTAGGAGTTGGGTACCTACGCTGTTTAGTTGTACATATAGAGGGTTACAACGTGCGATTCCCATTGAGATTCTCTTTTGAGGTATAAGAATCATGATCATGTAAAATAACATGTGTATGATGAGGATATTATTCCTTGACATTGACATTCAATTTCAGTATTTGTCTCAGCAATGTTTCTAAACAGTACGGTTGACCATGTACCATATCGAGAGTGACATTGATTGATCCGAGTGAGTCATGGATCTGGGCAGCTACTATGTGTGTTTTTTGGATGAGAGATCTCATTCCTGAGTGTATTTTTTTAAGTTGAGTTCTATCCGCGACTATTCCCCTGTATATGACGATCACAATCACTCTCACATGTGTAGTTTTATCTTGATATATGGTGACTTTGTGTGAGAGATGTATAGAAAACATCTCGTATGCTGTGTATTTCATGAAATGTAAATGAATGTGAACTGTCTACGTTTCGGTATACTTGTGTGATCTGCCCAAGGGGGGGTGATAGGGCCAGGTATAAGGAGAGGGAGTGCAGTCTGTTTTGTGAACAGTGTGAGAATCCTAAAGGATTTATGAGTCTGTAAGACTCGAATGCTTACCATGCCAAATGTTTATGGATTGAGTTGTAATGAGGGTCCATAAGTTGGTCCCTCAGTTTGAGTTGTTTTATGGTTAAAACATCCTCAAGAGAGAAAGATAGTCTTCTGGTTATTGGGAGATTTATCTTAAGAAAAAGGAGATGTTTTAAGAAAGAGGTCGTATGAGAGCTCATTCTAGAAAGAGAAGGGATGACCAGGAGACCTATTGAATGATACCTCCTTCATATGAAAGGCGGTTAATAGATTCAATGGCATGATAAGTTGATTGTCGAGTGATAAAGTCTGACGAGAAAGACCACATTTTTGCTTGGTCATTGGTGAAATTTTTGGAGGTCGCGAACATGATTTATTTTGGAGATGTCACTGAGAGGTGACCTTCTTGTTCTGATTAAGAAGGGAGGTCACGACCTTGTGAATCTGGCGGTGATTTTGTTTTGTGAATGAGGAGAGGTTGCCGTGTTTCTCTATGTTGTCCCACGGAGGACTGATAAATACCTTTTATGTGTGACAGACCTTTGTGTAGTCCCCAGTAGGTTTGTATTGTTGCAACACACCGTCCAACCACTTGTGTTAGTCTTGGGGCATTTATGAGAATACCAAGCTAACGGTAAAGTTTAGCATCACTAGGACGCAACCCCTAGTGTCGGTTGTTGATCGGCGTAACCTGAACAACGGGCTTACGTCTTGCCAAGGGGGTAAGGGCTTAAAGGGGTGTGGCCACCTAGGAGGGTTTTACTCCTGCGGAACGGCGTGGGATAGGAGTCGAGTCGAGTCTTTTGAGTCTTGATCGAATGCTTATCAGGAGAAAGCCTATCGCGGTGCAACCTGCGAGGGCATTACCGCTAA